ATAACAATATCTTCACTTCTAGAGCGCGTAAACCAAACATTTTAATTGCATTTTGAAGAGAAAAAATGTAACTATTTTTCAAAAAATCGATATTTTTGAAGAGTTAAGACCCTCCGGCTGCGCTTAAACACGTCCGTCTGTTTGACAGTCCGTCCATGACACTAGCGCCTAAACTATTTCTTGAAGGTTTTTCCAAAATGAAAAAAATCCCCAAACGATCAAGCATTACGAACCGATGCGATTTTGAAGAGAACTCCTTAAATTTTTTGGGTACTTTACATGAAAATCTTTTGACGTATTTTATTTTTTTCAAATATGACTACAAATTTCACATATTACATTTTCAATATTTTCTCAAACATGGTTTTAAATTTTTTTCTTTTCATTTCTTCTGGGAACAGAGAGAAAAATATGACGTAGGTTCAATTTTGTCTATTAACTCTGCAGTTACGATCATTGCAAATTCTGAACTTTTTGAGTCTCTCGTACAGCTACATTATTGAAGTTAGAGATTTTTGTAAAATCAAATTTGTTCTCCACAATTAGTTCTTTAATTAATGTCCTGAACATTTTTGCAAAAAGTCTTCTTTTCGCGAAAGTTATAGTGAAATATTAAATTCAAGATTTGTGATAAAAAAGGCTCTATTTTTTTCATTAAATGCCTTCTACAGATTGTGCTACATGCCAGAATAACATTATGTAAACGTTACTTTTGATGTTCTCTTTTGATTTTACGAAAATTACACAAATATATTTTTTGATAAACCTCTCAGGTCGGTACAATTTGCTTTAGGGGCGTTTTTATACATCATTGCATTTGTGAGTACCTTCAAAGTCCTTCAAATGATTTCCAAAGAAGTTTCTCGAAAACTTAAATTTTGGGCGAAAATGAGCTCAAAATTGGACACTTTCAGAATCAGTCAAATATTATAAAAAACAGCTGCAAGTTTTTAAGGAAAATATGAATTTGTAAGGCCAGTTTCTTTATTACTCTTAAATCTACTTTCAGTTCCACCATTGAGAAATTTAAATGAAAATGTATTGGTTGCGAAATTGAAATGTAATTTTATAAAAAACAGTTCCAACTTTTTAAGGAAAATATAAATTTGTTTAAAAAATTATCAGTAAGGCCAGTTTTACTCTTTTTTATTACTCTTAAATTTAATTTCAGTTCCATCCTTGAAAAACCAAACAACTGAGAAAATGTACTTTAGATTCCAATAGATGTCATATGGTAAAAGGAGCAAAACCAGGACTGGAAGAGATTAGAAAACTATGTAGTACAAGAAAGTCTGCCATTTTGTAACACCACTAGTTTTTTTTGTTCACCTTCATGTTCCTTGTAAATTTCCAAATTTCAAGATCCCTGAGTTTTTCAGATGTTCCTGGATTTCCTGAATTCAGACACTACTAACTAATTTAGTACTAATGTTGGATGTAAAGGATGTGTCAAATTTTAAGGTTTGTATGAAAGCTCCATCCTTCATGGGCTGCAATACTGGCACAAAAAATCAGGAAGAAAACATTACTGAAAGATTTCATAGTTCAATTCACAATAATATTACTATAAAATGACGTTTAATAAGGACATTAATTCAAAATTTATATTTTTCGATTCGTGTCAGTCGCAACCCATGAAAGATATCTTACACAATTATTCTTGGATAAAAATGTGTTTTATTCAGTCCTAGAAGTAAGTCAATTTTATTATGGTGCATATCAAAGACAATAAATATTATTGGGTTTTTATTTCGAGTAATCGAGTCAGTGTGTAGGAATGTCTTAAATGTATCATTTTCAAAAGAGTAATCAATATTCATACCAGAAGACTGAAGATTAACTTTAATCATCAGAATTCCACTTCAGAAATATACAGCAATAAATATAATTCAACTTGTCTGCATTTACAAAAATATTGACTTAAACGTCAAAATATGGCCATACTACATACAATTCACTATTCTATCTAGGATAGCAGTATGTCACCTGACCAAATATTATTTATGAAATTTTCATAAAAGCCCACAAATGTTTTATAAACATTACATTGCAATTAGCTGCCATTCCTTCAATCATATACAAAACAACTTGCAAATATCTATAGTGAAGACATGAAATTCCAGTTCATATTGACACATATTAGCCAGAAATCCTCATATTTCAAACAAGTGGTCATGTTTTCACAGCACTCCTTAGTTGCAACAGGAATATCTATCACAGGCAGTTTCTCATTTGTGTCGATCATTCACATTATTCTTGAATTATTTGAAATACTCTTACATGATCTAGATAGATCACTGTAGGTACAGTACAGAATATTAGCAAGATGATTAAAAAGCATACATATTGCACATACATATTCTTCAGCAATTGGACAGTTAATAAATGTAAACTATGTGCAGAGAAAACTACGTTTAATAACTAGGCTGGAGTAAATTACACTAATATTCTTGTATGTATGTATGTATGTATATATATATATATATATATATATAATCAGGAACATTTCCTCACAAACATCGCAAATGGGTGATACAGACTTCCAATCCCACATGGCAATTTTTTAACATACCAGAGAGGAAAATTGGTTTCTGAAGCCACCACCAATTCCATTTCAAGCCACAGAATTGAAATGTGAAATATGACCATAAATATGACGACACAAATGTACAGAAGCATAAGTGTCAGTATTCAATACCCTTTCAGATCTCGAGTTCGAACTTTGGCACTACTGTACTCGTAGAACTAGGCAATTACTGCAGAAATTGTCTGTTGAACGGCACTATTTTAAATTTCCAAACTTAATAAGTAAAAACAGCGAAATTATTCCACAGCTTGGAAATATACAATAAATCAGTCATGTTAAATGGAGGATGGGTATGACTTTTCGTTGAATCGCCAAGTAATTCCATTCTCAAATTATTATTATCTTTTTTGTCTAGAGATTCTGGCCGAGAGATGCTATTTGATCGCTACGTCCACGCAGTTCTGTACAGGTTTCTTTTGAAGCCACCCCCCCCACCCCCAAGATGTGTCTAGCGATCTTTCCCCAAATCAAAAAGTAGTCGATTTTACCTCAATCGAGAATTTTAAAGTTAATTTAAACCTCCTTACAGTAAATGAAATTAAACGTTTAAAAAATCGAAATATTGAGCTCACTGACATTACAAACATTTAATTTTCATAACACAAACACGAGCCCAAATTGTACAAATGACTCTCACTCTCGACCCCCTCCACCCCCGGTACGCTGTCCATGAAGGGCGCACGAGCTGATGTAACCGAAGAAACCGCGTGCCAGGCAGCACACCACCACTTCCCCTGCCAAGAAGAGGGACGGCGGCGGGGAGCGGAAGGCGTAGAAAGAGGAGGAAACGGCGGCTCTTCCCTTAACTTTATTGACAAAGTCACTTTTTATCGGGCTTCATTCTAGGAGGTGGATGGCAAATAAAAATTGTCTTTGTGTTGACGACCTGGATGTACAAATGGATTGGGAATAAAATTGTACTGTTTTCTGTTAATTTTGTTAAACTGTTTTCTAGTAATTTTGACTGCACTTATTTCAGATGTGGTGTTATTTGCTTACATGTGGTGGATATATATCGACAAACCTCAAAAATTGCCATTTGTATCGACGACTGTTATGGATTCTGGATTGAAAAAGCAGAAAATTAATATCATCTGTATTCAATTAAGATATTTTTTAACAATTTGTGTATTAATAATTTGTATTCGCACTTGTATTAATGTGTATTAATAATTTGCAACTTTTTAGATACAACTTTTGCTATTTAAAAGGAAAAGACCTGATATTAACCTAATACTACAACGAAGCCATAAGTAGTGTCAAAATTGTAGGAACGTGAAGCACTACAAGTCCTGTAATTATAAAAATCAATGTTTCGTTTGCCTTTAATCTACAGTTATCGATGGCAATAGTGTTGTTCTACCAACATCCAATAATTATCATCTCAAAAGCAAAGATACGGAAAGATCTAATACCTACAACAACAAAATTAATACTTCAAGCTTCATCACCATTTTCGTATCTGCACGTTGAAGATACGAAAGAAATGACTGGCACATAAACACGACTATCTACGTAAAAAAAAGTGCTCTTCCGTTTTACGGAGGCAATAATGTGCGCATCACATGCGTCTCATGTACTTTTCACTCCCTATGCGTTGCTCTTAAAACAAGAATTTGCTCTCGCATCTTATCACAAGCGTGTGACGCGTTCGGGGTCCTCCTCTCCAGCGCAGAGTGTGTGCACATAGAAACATTCATTCAGCATATGCGGTTGTCGCATCATTCACAGTGCGTGTTGGTGCGGTTCCAAGCGGAGCGGGCTCGCAACTTTTCACAATTGTGTGTTACGTACGTGGTCCTCTTCTCCAGCGCCGTCTGTAAGGGAGTAGTATCATCCATTCAGCACATGCGGTTGTCGCGCCATTGTGTGCGGGTGCTGGCACTAGCGGAGCGGGATTGAGACTTTTCCCGACTGTGTGCCACGTGCGGGGACCTCTTCTCCAGCGCAGAATAGGTGGGTGTGGTAATGTCTGTTCTGTGTGTGCGGGTGCCGAACTATTCTCTGTGGGTGCGAGTGCTGGCGCTAGCGGAGCGGGTACGCTAGCGCCCACATTTTCAAAGTGTGTTGCGTACGGAGCCCTCTTCTCCAGCGCATTGTGGTGTGTGTGTGTGTGTGTGTGTGTGTGTGTGTGTGTGTGCGCGCGCGCGCGCGCGTGTGTGTGTGTGTAGTATTCAACAAATGCGGTTGTCGCATCATTCTCTGTGGCTGGGGGAGCGGGGCCTAGTAGAACAGGCTCCTAACTGTGTGACGTACGCAGGAGCCCTCTTCTCCAGCGCAGAGCACGTGGGTGCAGCGTAGCAGCACTCGCAGGCTTCGTTCCAATCCCCGAGGCGGCGCGTGCGGTCGGTGCGGTAGCGCGCGCTAGCGGAGCGGGCGTCGGCGGGGCAGCGGCCGGCGCCGGGGCGGGCCTCAGGGGTGGCTGGAGTCGCTGGGCGCCGCCTCGGCCTGGGCCCTGGGGCTGGGCGCGCCGCTCGGCCCCGCGCCCGCCGCCCCCGCTGGCCCCGCCGCCGGCCCCGGCGCCACGTGAGACTCCCGCGACAGCGCGCCCAGCTGCGCGTGGAACATCACGTCGGCGATCAGCTTCTCCGCGACGATGCCCTGCAACACACGCGCAAGCGGCCTCCATGTGTTGGCAACACGCGCGAGCGAGGGGCTCAAACAGTGTGGAAGATCCTATGGGATCATTTTGCAAGTATTTTTCTTCAATGGGTAGGCATTGTCTGTCTGAAGGATTTCGCGGCCACAGTCAAGTATGCTTTGCTGTCAGAGATACGCCGTGTCCTAGGCACAGTTGCAAAGTTCCGGACGTTCTAATGAGACCTTCCTCAGGGCGAAATTCTTTGAATAAGCGAAAGCATTTCGTCCCGAGAATGGTGGCAGCATTACTGACGAGACGTTTGCATCTGAGCACACGACATCTCCATGACAGCCAAGCATCTATTGACTCAGGTCGAGGAAGCCTTGACTTTTAAAAATGACCATATACCCTTTAAAGAAAATATTATTAAAATAAAAATTGGATCTTCCATGCATCTTTGACCCTTTTTTACTGAAAATGAGGTAGCCTATGTACATTATCGGAATGTAATTACTCATTCCTCACATGTGCGTATAATCACTAGATTTCGGATTTTTAGAAAAATCCTTATATTAGTCTTTCGACTTAGACACTCGAAATTAATTTGATACATTCCCAATGATTTTTCAAAATTAAGGAACCACAACTAAATCGGTTATTTTTAAAACCCCACAAATCAGGATTGTAAAGTTGTCGAATACAAGAAAAACTGAATAATTAAGTACATGAAGTTCTGTTTTATAATTTACTTTGCTTAAATCTACATTGAGAATGCCATGGAGACATATACTAATTTACGTTAATCAATAGTACAATAGTTGCTGGAGTTATTTTAAAGTTTAGGACTTACAGGATATCAAACCTAATCTGGAATTTTTTATCTAAACATGTAAATAATCACACATTTAGTTCCAGTTTGTAATTTGACAAATTTATTACAATATTAAATGCGAAATAACAATGTGCATCTTCATCAAACATGATTCATATGACAGAAACAGTTCAAATAAGAGTTTCTACGAAGGTTACCTTATATGTTTCGGGATTTCGCAACCCTGGTGTTCGCAAATCTTCCTGATCTGCAACTGGCAATTGACAGCTCTATCGTAAAGTTGAATGTTTTGAGATTATACGTACTCAGAACGTTACGAGCGCTATTTGTGTTGTTTACAGTAACTTAAATCGTGGCACAAAAATAAAATTAAATCGTGAACATTTTCGTGCGATTTTCTACAACTTTCGACGTGGATTAACACAGCAACAGTGCATGGATGAACTTAATTCAATTTTTGGCGATGAAGCTCCATTAAGGGTCAGTGTTTATCGATGGTATGGTGAATTCAATCGTGGTCGTAGTTCACTCCAAAACGAATTTCGCGAAGGTCGTCCAAAATCAGTTGTTCCGAAAACCAGTGATGCTGTGCGTAAACTGATATTGTAAGATCGTCATGTGACCTATGGTGAGATTGAGACTACCTTAGACATTAGTGGGATCAGTATACAGTCAATATTGCATGAACATTTAACTGTCAAAAAAATTTGTTCGCGTTGGATCCCACACAACTTGTCAATCGTTCAAAAAAAGGCTCGTGTCGATTGGTCGAAAGATATGCTCAAAATGGATTTACACGTATGAGCCCGAAAGTAAACAGCAGTCGACTGTATGGGTGTTTCAAGACCAGCAAAATCCAACAAAAGTGATTCACGCACGAAGCACTTCCAAACAGATGGTCGCCTGTTTTGTTTTTTTTTCAGGAAAACTGGACATGTCGCAACCGTACCACTAGAACAACGCAGTCAATTCTGAGTGGTACACAACGAATTGTTTGCCAGCTGTCTTCCAAGAAATCAGGAAAACCAACCGCCGAAGACGGATCACTCTTCACCACGACAATGCGAGCTCTTACACATCGGCTCAAACAACTGCATTTTTGAGCACCCAAAACACCGATTTGTGAGTCATCCGCCGTATAATCCTGACTTGGCACCGAATGACTTCTTTTTATTGCCGTACGTAAAAAACAAACAGAGAGGTCAACGTTTTTCGACACCTGAAAAAGCGGTTGCTGCATTCAGAATGCATGTTTTGGAGATACCTCAATCAGAGTGGCAAAAGTGCTTCGACAATTGGTTCAAACGCATGCAAAAGTGTATAGATCTTCATGGGGAATATTTTTAAAAACAATAAAGTGATTTTCGATTATTAATATTTGTTTTTGTTTTCTAATCCTGAAATATAAAAGGCAACCTTCGTATGATCGTACGTTAGCCGCTTAGAAATATTTCCGTATTGAACATCTTTTAACAAATCTCTCTGTCAGTGATATGCCAGTCTTACACACTGTATACGTACATATATACATACATACACTGTCATACACACCGCGTAAGTCGATAATTTACAGATTTTGAAAAACAAACCAAAACTTTGCAACGGCCATTCTATTCATTTTATTTACAGGATTTGCACATGGAACGATGCATTTATCCTGAAGCTTCTGTGGAGTGACTCACGGGGTTTTAAAGGTAACCGATTCAATTATAATGTTTTAAATGCCTATTTACCTATTAAAGCTTAAAACATTCCTATTCGTTCGTACCTATTTTTTTTTTAGATTTAAAAAATATATATCGGCTTCTAACAAGCTCGTTTCAAAGTCGACACAATTTTGTTCTCGGAACATCATGGCAAGCAGGGTCAGTGCTTTGTCTCATAGTAATTCAATTAAGCATATCCGAGAAGATAACTTTGTTGAAATATCCACCAATTGAGCATTTATGTTAACCTCGATCTGATTCCTCACAAAATTCAATGAACCGTTAGTCTAATTTACATTTTACAGGATTTTAGTTACTTAGTAAAATACATAAAAAATTCTAACTGGAGAGAAACCTCCGAGGACGAACCATTAGTCCATTGCCAATTATCTCTGAAATTAAGTTAACTTCCAACTGGTTTCTGGGAAATGGTCGCACGAGTTTTTACAAACATTACGTAATACAATTAGTAGTCATAAATTTATACACCTAAAGGACGTTGGTAGAGTTGTTTGATTATTGACGTTACAATAACCATTTGAAGCCATTTATTTATATAAAATACGTCGACTTGTCTGTTTATTCTCCTTAGAAGATTAATTCAGGTGATGGCAAGGCATTTTGCTCAAAACTTAGTTCTCATGACTAATCAGCTTAATGATGGATATCAAAGTTACATTTGTTCATAACATATTTTGCTATAATTGAATTAAATATGCAAATTAATTATTGTGAGTATTTTCAATATTAATTATTGTGAGTATTTTCAATACTAAAGCAGAATTAACGCACGAGCAACAAAGTAAAAAAACCGAAGTGAGGGGCCTCGGACTGAACACACCCTGACTTGAACTGTCTTCCCACACTTAATTCTGCGCAGGGAAGTCTATGCACGTACAGCAGAGAAACCGACGGAGAAGGCTGAAACGCAAATGAAGCGCCTCCTCATGGACGCAAGACTCATTTTCATCGCAGCGCTGTCCTGACTTCACCGCTTGCGAGCGATTCAGAACTTATTAAGTGTCATTCGTCATTAAGTGGAAGTGTTCTGAGAGCAGTAATGTTTTACTTCGACTTTGTTTTAAACGGATGCGTGTTTTCCGTAGTCTTAATAATAAAAGATCACGGTATGTTAAGGCTTTAACAACAGACCACCGCGAGAGATGGCTCAGGGCATCAACTGGTGTCACTGCAGTGCCTCTGACAGGGAGTTCCTAGATTCGAATCCCGAAGGTGTCAGGATAGTCGATACTAACTAGATAGCTGGTCAAGTTTACTCGCAGTCTGGAGAGGAATCCTAGCGGCCGGCTGCTCTGATCGACAGTTTACCGTCCGATCAATTCTACGAGACTGCCTGAGTATATTTTATTCAATTTCTTTAGATTTCTTGAGCTTAACTGGTTTGCTCATTTTTAAAATATTGCTCAATAGTTGAGGTGCGTTTGTTTCTGCAGACCACTAGTTTTATCTATTTGAATTTCAGCGACTAACTAAAAATGAGTAGAAAGCACCTGTGGGTAGGCAACCCACTGCACAGTCTTGCAGCTGCTTAGAAAATAGCAGATAACACTATAAGCCAAGCTTCTTATGAGCAGTATCAAAAAAATACACAAAGTTCATACTTTACCAAGAAATTATTTATTGTTTCCCTTTTGCTGCAAACTATTGTAAAGCTAGACGTGTTCTGAAATATTTACTCAAGATTTTTCTAGAAATGAATAAAGTACAATTTAGTTTATACTTTGCATTTCTTTTTTTTCTTGTTATAATTCCAGTGTTTATTTTAACAAATATTCTTCAGGTTTACAGAGAAATCTTTGCATAATGTAGTTCTCATTATCCTAACTCCTTCTGTACTATAATCTCCTTTTCCGCTATTCGCCTTCTGTACATTTGTATTTCGAATTGTTTATATCTAGCCAGCGTAGACAATTTCTAATCAGAAATGGTAGAATGTTTTTAAATATTGAGGGTTTGGTAGCCGGAAAAGTGACAAAATCCAGTTTGTAATTTCACAGATTTGCGGTACGTAAAAGACCCTAAAGCTTAAATTAGTTCAGTCAATTGGGGCTCAAAAAGGGCAAATGGAGAACAAATTTGTTGTGCTTTTGATATTTGGTTCTTTGGGTTGCTGAACACTAACATCAGGTTTCTGAACAAGACGTCTACCCAGAAACACGTTGTTAAGCAAAAAATCAGTAAAATTAACTTTTTCCAGGTTTTTTTCCGATCTACTTCAAAAACCATCCAAGCTACAGCTCTAGTTTTGTCCGGATCGGGAATAGAAGCCAGAATCGCACAAAGGAAATCTAGCACGTTATCTATGAGTACGTACACTGGAGGAACTTGTTATATTTCTTAATGTATGATAATTTTCTGAGATGTGTGTGTGACAGAGAGAGACAGACAGACAGAGACAAAGAGACAGACAGAGGCAGAGAAAGTGAGTTACAGGGGTAGATGAAGAGCGGCAAGTTGTATATTACCTGGACGGGGGCGGCGCGGGCGAGGGCGCGCAGCTTGAGCGCCACGTTCTTGCCTACGCAGTCGAACTCGTCTTGCGGCGGGTGGTTGCAGCAGCGCGCGCCGCCGGGCGCAGCCACTTCTGGCCCTGGCCCTGACCCAGGCCCCGGGGCGGGGGTGGCTGCGCTGCAACCAGGGCCCTCGCCGCTCTCCGCGCGCCCTGCAACACACGCCCGGATAGGCTCGAATCGTCACCGGCTGAGAGGGCAGGGCCTCTGACCGACATGTCCTAGGGTTCGCGTCGAGACGCTGGCAGGATTTTAGACACTTCCTTCACAGCCAGGTCGAATTCAGCCACCGTTTGGAGGTACAACACATGTTGGGAGACACTAACTTAGAGATTTTCCTGGCTTGGGCGGAACACCCCGCTTCGTCGGAGGGACCCGGATGGGGAATACCCTGCAACCCAACATGTACGTCAGCACCGTATCTCGCCAGCCAATGGGTCAAGACCACCACCACCACCCCCTCCTCCTTCCCCGAGCAAAAAACATGCACTGCGCCTAGCAGTTAACGCGTATGGAATCACTAACAATCAATCAATGAACGGCTGAATTTTTGGTATTGAAACTCCGAAATGAATAACCAAATCCCAGTTGATCAAACACCGAACGTCGGTGGAATTAAATCAGAGAAAAAAGCAAAATAATAGAAATCTGCCCCCGTACACTGAGCCTGCATAGGCGCCTCTACCCTAGTGCATGCTAATTCTGTAATACACACTGTTAAAATGAGAATATTTAAGCAGTCTTATAATTATAACAATCGCAACTTAGCATTACTCTTGAACGCTTATAATTATAAACTAACTTCTTTGTTATGAAGGCGATATGTTATAGTGATGGGTCAACGATAAAAAACATCGATGTTTAAAATGAAAACATCCACGACAAAAATACATCGACTAAAAACATCGATGTTTTAGTCTGGATTAGTAACCTCTAACATTCAATTCGTGTGAATTAAAATTTGATTTGACAGTGTTCGTGTTTATGAATTCGCCGAATGAGGGAACAAGAAGAAGGGACAGACTCTACTCCAAATCATATTTGTTGACCATATCTCTATGTGCTAAATGAATATGACGAAAGAGCAAATGCAAGGGCATGGAGGTCATTTCGGACGAGAGAGTTTGGTCGATAATAATGCTAACAGCGTTCCGTTGATTCAAACAGACGAATAATGGTGTTACTATCGGTTATTAATTATTTTTTTTTTACTTTTACAGTATTGTCAGCATGGGAATTTTTCATCCACAAACAAAACATCAATGTTTTGAACACATTGACATCGATATCGCATCCCCAGTATGTTCCCTGCCGTAACTAGGGATGTAGCTGGCGAGGGCTATCTCACCTTCTGTCCGCCGGCGTTTGAGGGCGTGCGGGGCGGGCGCGGGCGTAGGCGTGGGCGCGTGGGCGGGGCCGTGGGCGGGGCCGTGGGCGGGCGGCGCGTCGTCCGGGCCGAAGTGCTCGGTGAGGATCGATTCGCACTCGGCAAAGTCGTGCAGCGGCTCCAGCGGTTGGTGCAGGTCGTCATCGTCGCCATCGGCGTCGCCGTCCACGTCGTCCGCTTCGTAGCGGTGCGCCGGCGGCTGGGGCGGCGGCGGCGGCGGCGCCAGCGGCAGCGGCTGCGGCTCCACGTCCACCTTCAGCTCCGCCTCCGCCTCGAACGACGCGTCCAGCTGCCACACACATTGCGCTTCACTCATTCGTTGCCCCAGACGCTCATTCAACCATTCTTTTTTTTTTTTCTTAAGATGATACAGTTTTTTTAAAACACGTGTACTGATTTACACCCTCTCCGGTAGTGCATGATAATAAGTGCATATTAATTTAATCATTCACACTGGACGAGGTGGCTAAAGGCATCAAATGATGTCAATGCAGTGCCTCTTCCCGGAAAGTCCTAGGTATGAGTCCTGACAGTGGCAGAATTCTCGACACTGGTAGCAAAATAGCTGGATCGAATTCAGTGATTATGATCTGATGGTTAGTTTTCCTTTGTTTCTTCGGCGAAAACCGAATGCCGAAGCAGTACCCTAACAATCAGGCCATTGATCGCGCGCTATCTTTCCTTCCCCTTTCATGTCCTATCCTCACTTCTTACTTACACACACTACAGTACTAACCAAGCCAGACGACTGGTCAGAGCTTAGGGCTTGTCCCGGCCGGGGCGGTTCCTCGCAGGTGGAAATACTTGGTTGGGGAAAACACCGCTAGCTGACAAGTAGGTCGGCGCTGTATTTGACCATTTATCTGTGGGAAACATGCACTACACTTACGGTACTAATGACATTGGCCGTTCACGCACCCGGAATCAGCAATCTATCGATCAAATCATTCATCAAGACGGCTTCAGTTTTCTTGAAATTAATGTACTAAATTACTTCCTCTTCACTAGTCCATATTAATACGTGCGTATTCCTTTTAGTCATTCATTCAAGGTGACTACAGTTTTTCTTGAAACAAGTGTGCTGAATTACACCATCTTCCCTAGGTATGATAATTGTATAATATACACTTCAAAAAAAGGAGTACCTTTAAGCAGTCTCAAAATTACAACAATCGCAACTTAGCATTACACTCGCACACTCAAAGGCACCCACAGGTGGGCCGGAAAAGCGCAGCGGGGGCGGCGCGGAACGTCCCGCGCTAGACGCGGCGGCGGCGGAATCCGCGGGACCATTGACAGGGAACGTCAATTATGACTCAGCGTTTGGTGTCTGTTTTCCTCAGCCGATAAAAAAAGCGCTCGCTTCTGTTTATGCATGAGATAGAAAATGCCAATAATCGTAGTACATTTTCTAAATATATGCGACACGGTAATTGTACCACCTTTATATTTTCTTCATGAAATTGTTAAAATCTCTTTAGGAAACGAAGAAAACGGGTTCATGATTTTGACCTAGAAAGGAAAAAGTACGGAGAATCTTGATATCACAAAGGAAGAGACACACTAATATTATGAAAATTGCGAAAGTTCATTTCTTGCAAATTCATTGACGCTGAGATTTCTTTATTGATACAACATATTCATCAACATTAGATCTTTATTTACTTAAAGTCAAAATCAGTGAAAATCTTTCACTATTATTATATGGGGAGAAGTGTAGCTATCTGTGCACGTTTTCTTGAATTTTGGGATACCTATCCTAACCCATATGCAATTCAGAATACAAATGGAAATAAGAGTGTTTTTGCTAAAATTGATAAGAAAATATTAGTTCCCGTGTGATAAAAACTATTTGCAAATACAAATCAGCTACAGATTTGAGTTATTATCCCTCATATTCCCTTACAATCCCTCTTCATGCCTTGCCAATGAACTTACTGCCGCGAGGTCATGGAACACTGATTTGAATAATTATTTTTCCCGTTGAACTCCAGAAAACGTGCACAGGTACTCAAGTTACATTTATGTCTAGAAGCAAAACCAGGGGCCATCTTAGAATTTGCTCAAATGATCAGGGAAACTGGACGAAAATCTTATCTAGATCTTCAAATCATTTCATTAGCAACTTTTGAAAACAATTTTCGTGTAATTTTGAGTCAAAATGTGAAGGATTTCAAGACCATTAGGAACGGTTTTATCTATGTTATTTATCACCTAACCAACACGGTGCGATTGGCCCAAAGCCAACGCCCACGATTTTCCCTCGTAGCATTCGCATTTGAAACCAAGCATGCGTAAATTTTTTTTCTGTTAAACGGATTGTAAATATAAAGCACAATCATTCAATTTAATAGAATGAAAAACATTTCGTTTAACCTTTAGAATTTTTAATAAATTATAATATTTATTCTTTGAAACCTTTGTGCTTCGTTTTCACCAATAGTTGTTGCAATGCCGTCTCTCCTATGGAGTCAACACGGATTTGAAAATATATCTTAACTTAATGATGATGGTATTTCCTTTGTATAGAGTTAAGAAAATTAAGAAAACACTTAAAACGGCTCGCAAACTGCATAATTAATTCTGATCTGTAAATAACTAAATAAAACCTAACGCAAATGCCAGTAGAAACCGCGGAACACATCCGAACGAAAGTAATATAATTTTGAAGATTCAAAACCACCAATATCTGCGTTTCAAATAATATCATTGTCGCAAGAGAGTGTGGTAGCAACAAAGCCCTCTAAAAGGTTCATTTTTGTTGCCAATTCACCTTTAAAACTTGTTCCAATTTCACACGTTTCTTTAATAAAAGTAAAATAGAACGCAATAATAAATTAAAGAGTACTAGTATATCTCGACCGAGTTAAGAATGATGTTTACAATAGACGGAGATATAAACTCAAATTAAACATGGCAGTACTCCTACCTTGTCAAACTGTTGCGGGGAAAACGCGCGCTAACCTTCGTTTTCACTAACACAAAATGTAATTACATTACAGACCAGGCATCTCATCTCGACGAGAACTCACCTTTCCCAAAATTACAAAGATAAACAACTTGCTTCACTAGCCCCTCGCCATTGCTTAACCTGCTTCTCAACCTGCTCCTCGCCGCTTTCGTTAGCGAAACCGACTGGAAAGACCCGTGTTTGCACTGTGAGTTCCACGACGCACCGCAATCACCTCCTTCATTCTTCGACCCGTATTGGTAGATAGGAGTTTATTACACATTACTCTCTTCTAGTTTCTCATTTCATATTGCATATTTTCAAATAAATGTGCGAATTTGTAGCAAATACTAATTTTTTTTGCGAATAGAACCAATTTCATCAAATCAAAATAACCAACTTTACGCATACGTATTACAATATGTGACATAACTTTACGAATATACAATAGTTTTCCTTATCTATCATTTCCTCTTTTATCACAAATAACAGGTGTTTAAAATTCAGTTGCTTGCTAATCAGAGAGATTGCCTAATAATTACATTTGGAAGAAATTGTCAACAGTTTAACCTGTTTATTACATCTTTTACGGTCCTGGGACATAACATAGGTTTTAGTGAGTTCAATGAATAGTCTTGCCAAATTCAAAGAAAATTGTACGAAACGTTATAAAGATGCTGCGCAACAAATAAAATTTGCGGCAATGATGCAAAATGCCGAACGGTTGAGTTAAAAGAGGAACTTGAGAAACAGTATACATCAGCCTGTCTGAAATGAATAT